GTAAGTTTTGTATTTTGTTGAACGTGAGTTCAATTTTATTTCAAAAAATGAAGAATGAAAGAATAAACAGAATCAAGAAGAACCCTAGAGAATATACTGAGTTAAGGGTACCCAAAAAAGTACCCTGATACCAGTATGTCACAGGAACTTTTGGGTACCAAAGTACTTGCAGGTACTTACAGGTACCTAAGTGGTACTTTGGCAGGTACCCTGCTGGAAAATGCACAGTAATTGGGTACCTAAAGGTACTGATCAAGTACTGAATTGGGTACCATTGTATAGTATTTCTAAGTACCCTGTTACCAAATTTTCAGTATGTTCAGGATCGAACCTGATCGTTGACTTTTTAAAATTTTTTCTTTTTCTTGAGATAATTTACTAGGTTTTTTTTTACTTTATTCAATTTAATTTTTTCAATTCCAAAAACTTAGCAGGAACAATGTCGAGATTCGACTCAACTTGAGTTGGTCGTAGACCACTTCAGGGTAGTCCGATCTTAATTTACGACCAAGCTCGGCATTTCCTCGACTAAGAAATAGTCAAGAAATAATTTAGAAAAAATTAGTATGAAAATTGATTATTTTCTTATGATTTATCGAGTTGTTTATATAGAGCCGTACGTAAAAAAGAAAACGGTGAATGAATAGTCGCCACACAGAACGCGAAAAATTTAGGATACCCTGTCGAGATTTCCTCAGTAAAGTTACAGACTTGTGTATCCATGCAGGTACTTATTCAGTGAATGTACTTTTACGGGTACCCCAAACAGTACATACATCAGTAAAATGACTGAGAATTTTCAAAGTACCCATATTGGGTACCCTGCTAGAGCTTTCTCAGTACATGGGTACCCTGAACTCAGTACTTTCTCTAGGGAAGAGAATGCTAACAATAACCATTCTGCTCAAGAATATAAGAAGTACATATATATATATAATGATAACACTATCACGCACTATAAGCTATGCAATAGAAAAATTAATATGCAAAAAGAATGAAAAGAGCAAGGTCAATATCGATATTTATTGACCATGAGAAAATAGAAACGAATGTAGAGTATTCGATGAAAAGGAAGCGAACGAACAATCTCAAGTGAACAGAAAGAACTAAAGAACAGATACATATAAGACAAAGAGAAAGAAAATGAACATGCACATATATAGTTCATAAGGAAGAATTTTTCCTTAACAACATCATTCAACGATTTACATTGTCGTAAGGAGCAATAGAAATGTAATAAGGAGAAATTAAGGTTTCATCAATTATTTTCTTGTTCATTTCAAGGACCACGTCTAGTAGGAGTGTTTTTTCTGTGGAAAGAAATCGATAGAGTGGAAGGAGAGATCATACGTACAATGTGGTACTGACGGACAGAAATGAAAATGATATAGGAAACGATTGTCATATTTTCGTTCTCGAATGTGGATAATTATCACCAGAAATGCTCTATTTTTGTACACGTTAATGATAGTTGGTGGGATTTGTTTGGTTTGCATAGACGCAGTTGAAAGAAATGTTTTGAATTCATTAATTGACTCCTCTGGGTAGAGTGAAGCTGAGGGATTACGTTGTTTTCACGGTGGTCTTCGCGTGGATACTGTTTGTGCATGAATTGTATATTTGAATGAGTGTATTTTTTGGCGTAGAAAAGATTTTGTAGAATCGTAGGAGAAACAGTTGAATACAGCATCTTTTAAGTTTGATGCGTTTTGCGCTTTCTCATGTGCAGATACTTGATTAGTCTCTTTCTGGTGGCCTATGAAAATGAATAGGTAAATATTTTAAATATGGTCCATTGAAGCGATTAAAATGTAGCGCGACATGTTACAAGATGCATTTGTTTTATTGTTGCCTGTTCGTAATTCGTGATTGATTTTTTCGTTGTTTACTGTTTCGCTTTGTTGTCTCCTTGTTTTGTTCAATCTGCACAAGTTTTTCCATTTTTTTTTTAGCTAAATTGTGTACGGTGTTCATATCGGCGATTTTGAATGTTGTTTTTGTCGACGATGGTTGTGCTAATGGTTGTGGATTTGTGGTGCTTGTTTTGGTTTGATTCTTTGAATAGAAATTTATTCAGAGTCTGTCCTTTGTTCATTTGTCACCCTACCTTCGATGATATTGTAGCTGGTGCTGTGGAAACTGTTTTGTTTGTTTTCATATCTTCCTGAAATTATCATTGATTTAAAAATTTTGACTTTAACTTAAACTTACTTCATGTTGAAGAACTTACTGAATATCTGCTTGTGAGCCGAACTGATGTGAGGTTCTAGCGGGATGGTTGAGACCTAAAATGAGTCAATAAGCATTAAAAAGTCTCTCATTTAGCTCACAATGTTGAATATATACCTTGGACAGACGCACATTAGTTCCAGATGTTTGTAGTGAAATAGTAATAACAAGTTGATAGGCATTTTTCGCCAGCTAAGAGTGCTTATAGGATGCTTGCATAATTTTTTAGCCATGCAAATAGCTGCTCAGTGGCTTGGGTGTTAATACTATTCAGCACTAGTGGAAATTATAAGGACATACCTAAATCAATCGAATTTAAAGAGCTCACTTTTATTTTTATATGGATTCATATGTGCTCGACACCACCGCCCTACATGTCCTTTGAAATGACTTCGATTCACACTAAATTGAGTTTCATAGAGGAATGTTGAGGCTGATATACGTTTCAGATCCTGATCATAATGATTTCTAATAAATTCTACCAACTTGCAACCATCATCATAGACATCGCATTTCGAAAAGTGGAAATCGAATGCTAAAAATCAACATGACAAAGTATTTTTGAAGTAACAATGTTTGAATACGGTATTCTCTAGATGGCGTTCTCTGTTTATGAGAAGTAAATATGATGTATTTAGAATGACGATTCGGATACCAAAATCGAAAAGAAGAAGTTTAATATTTATTCTGGCTTTACACGTGTATATATCAATATCTAGTAGAGATTTTCGTTCACATCAAATAAAGTTTGGTAATAGACATATTTTATTGTATATTCACCGCGAATCGCAGAACATAGAAGACTTATGGTTTCATGCAGCGTTTCGGATCGAAAAATTTCTGAAAATGTGGCGACAATTTTGCAATTCGTTATAGCAGCAAGTATACCAATGGATCTGTTGCATCATTGAATGTATGTTTCAGGTCTTTCCTTATTCGTTCGACAGTTTGTTGCCACAAATCCACGTTGGGGTGTGGATTTGGGTGTACTTTAGATCCACACCACACCACATCAACATCAACGCCCCACACTCACATTCACATCCACATGCAGACGCAGACCTACAGCCACAACCGCACCCTCTACTATAAGACAAGACTAAATAAAAATTAATCAAAATCAAATGGAACGACTGGAAGTTTTTAGCCAAAGATACCATGCACTATGGTTTACTAATCGGAGAATCTTTAGCTATACTTCATCATCAATCCCTTCTAAATAAAATAACATGTTCTACACCACTAATCATCTATCCTGAAGAGCTATCAATAAAAGAAAACTTAAAGTTAAGATGAAATCAATGAATCATACACCACCGAAGAGTGTGGGTGTTAGTGCAGCTTTGTGTGTTAGTCTGGGGGTAGGTCTCGGTGCCCATACTTCGATTTGGGACACAAGCAAGAGCCAATCAATTGTTGCGTGTAGTGCAAAGCCAGATCAGCACTCCATAGCTACACCATACACAAACACGCACATCCTGAAAACGGAACCTTAAAGTGTAGACAGTAAGTAGCAGATAAAAAACGAACAATATGTATTATGCTGTAGCAATAGAAGTCGAATAACTTTCTCAGTGGTCTTTCTTCAAGTGGAAGGCTCTGGAACAAAATTCAACATTTAACATTTTTTGCTTATAATATGTAAGCTATTTTTTCAAAAAGATGAGAAGTCTGGTTACTATTGAAATCCTTCAAACTATTTGATGAATTTTAGCGACCAAGTAAAACTCTTATTGTGTCAGTATTATTGGATGTCACCTCGAAATAAAAATTTCTATTTTTGTGAGAGAACCGTTAAGTTATTTTACTTCAGAGAGACAATCTTTTCATCATACTTTTGCATTCAAAATAAGCAAATTTGGTTTTTTTATCGTTTTTGTTTCTTTGTCTGGCAAGAAAGAAAAAAATGGCGTTGTTAAATTTCTTTTCTACCTTTTATTTGCACAAATCGTCACTATTTGCAACGTGCGTTTTGTAGAAAGCTGTAAACCAACGATTTTATCGAACTTCAAGTAAGAAATTTTCAATTTCACAAGTAGTTGAGTCTATTGAAATTGCTCGTAATTTCATTGATCATGATTTTAAAATCGTTTCTTAATCCTTATTTCGATAAAAAAAGATTCGCAGCCACCAGTTTATTTTTTAATATTGCATAATGAATTCATACTAAATATTGAAATTCAGTTTTGTACTAAACACTCGTTTGACATGCAGTTTAATTAAACCGATTATTCAAGGCAAATATAATTGTTCTATAGTCTCGTACGAAATTTGCATGGTAGTGTCCAATTCATTTAAAAGAAGATCCTCCTATACATTCACGATCAATTTTACAATTCTGAATAATTCAACACTAAGTCGTAATTGGAGTTGAGGCAAACCCAAAATGATATTCACTTGAATAGTTATTGAAAAGCTTAAACTTATAATAAGTTACTTAGGGTGTACCAAAAGCAATGACGCCGATACTATAAAATCTTACAGAAGGCTCGAGGAAATTTTCTTTCTATATATACTGATAGCCCAAATCATGCTCAATAATTCTACAATATTTTATAATTTATTCAGATTATATTATAATACTGAGTGTATAGCAAGAATAGTCGCGACTATATGAAAACAAAATATGTAAGCACGTTTATCAAGTTTTATTTCATCGAATGTTCGAAGTAATCACCCTGGTTGTTCAAACATCATTGCATCCATTTATCAAAGGTCTTTTCATATTCTTCTTTTCTCAACGATTTCATAAACTTATTTACAGCGTCATGCTACGATTCGGAATCATCTTGATCACTAAGATTTTGTTTGATCAAGTCAAATAACCAAAAGTCACACGGAGTCAGATCTGTCGAATGAGTTGGGTGTGGTATTACCGTTATGCCTTTCGCTTCAAGATAATTCAAAACATCTTTATGAAAATGTGGTTTCCCATTATCATGGTGAAGTTTAATTGCACGAGCACCAAAGGTGAGTCGTTGGTTCTTGATTTCGTCAACAACTGGCTGCAAACAATTCTTGATGCAGTATTGGTGATCGATAGTTTGTCTAGGTTCAACAGAATGAATTAACACTGGACCAGTTGACTTAAGAAAAATGCAAAATAAAGTTCTCGGGGCAAAACTACTACGTCGAACCAATGTTGGTGAAGGATCTCCACTTGCTATCCAAGCAGCATTTGATGATTTTCGATCAATTTCTTTACGATAAAATCACGATTCATCACCTGTCAAAACATCGCATAGTCTCCAAGTTCTTTGTTCAAATTTTGCTAAAGTTTCTTAGCATATTCGCACCCGTTCAGCTCGTTGAGAATCGGTCAAATGTTTGGGAACATAGTGTGCAGTAATTTTTTCAGTTTCAGATGGTCGGAAATAATTCGTTCGATGGCACCATGGCTCAGACCACTTTACACTCGCAATCTGTCAATTGTACTATAAGGATCATCATTAGTAAGGTTTCGAAATTCTTCAATATTAGCAGATGTTGTCTCAGTTACAGGTCTTTCGGGTCGTACTTCATCTTCGTCTTCGATTTCTTCCCGACCTTCACGAAATGATTTTGACCATCTTTGAACAGCTCTGAGAAGTGGAACTTGATCACCAAAGACAGATTTTAATTCATTATGAATATCTATTGGTTCAATATCAAGTGCAGTATGCACTTTAATATAGAAACGAAAGTGTTCCTTGTCCATTGCAGACAGGTTAACAGTTTTAATCGTGTTATGATATGTTGAGAAAATTAGGCTATATTGTCTTGGTCGTATATTTTTTCTGCTATTCTCTTCTCTTTCTTGTCTCCTCTGATATCTAGTCGTCTCTATACATCTAAATCGCATATGACCTATTTGTTTTTTTGCGCGTGTATAGTTAGTTGTTACGTGTGCTCAAGAGAAAAATTCATAAAAATTGACAGCAAATTTCAATAAATCGAAGCATTGCTATTATAATATCATCTGAAGACTTATGAAATATTGAAGAATTATAGAACACGACAAGGGCTATCAGTATATATAGAAAGAAAATTTCTTCGAGCATTCTGTAAGATTTCATAGTACCGGCGTCGTTACTTTTGGTACATCCTAAGTATTTTTGATCTGTTTGTCGTATTGATCTATCTTCATTAATATTCCGAGTCACTTGGAACAGATATGAAAACGTCTAAATCTGTGAAATGTTGTTATTGAATAAAATTATTTTTTCTGTTCCGTTCATGGTTTATTTTCCGTTCCCGTTCGTTTAATTAGCTAACAGTGAGCATTTGCAGTGAGAGTTGAGCGATTCATGCACATCAACACTCTCACCCCATTACGAAAGTATCATGTCAACCGTTAGCAAAAAAAAAAAGGAAATTTAATAAAGAATTTAAAACAAAATGAGATAGTTAAGAAAATGAATTCGAGAAAACGTGAGGATGGTTTGAATGGTATATGAGTTTGCATCTATTCATTTGTTAAGGCTTTTATTTTACAGCTTTTTCTAAACTATCGTCAGTAACGAATACTTTTGATATCTTGGGATAATGTTAAACGACGTCATATCAACTACTGTTTGTCTGTCCGTTTCACAAGATCTTATATTTCGTTTTTCTTGAAGAAAAGTGTAAGCATAATGAATGTTGACCGAACTGTTTCATTTTAGCCAGTTTTATTACGAATCATCAAAATCAAAATGATTTAGATACGGAAAATCCATAGGTTAAGTTATTAAGAATCAAATTAATTTCACTTCTCAAAGTATGATAATGAAAAACCTCGGTTGGTGTTGATAGTCTACAGGAGATGTATGCTCTTTTTATGATCTAAGTAAAAGGATACCTGGAAAAATAGAAAGCGTAAGTTTTCAATCAAAGTTTTCAAATTTACCCTAGCCTCCTCATTATAGGTCATAACAATGATCATACTCATATTACAGACTTTAGCAGTTGAACAAAATAGGCGTTATGCTATCTAAGATTTTTCTGGCAGATTAGATCAAATTAGAAATTTAAAAAATAATAAAGATTACGCAGAGATCTGATTGAAAGAGGCTGCGCTAACAAGCTGTACCATTTCGATCGAATTGTTGTAAAGCTTTGCAATTTTAATACCTAAAGCCATATACCTAATTCCACCTTTTTCGATTCCAAAGAAATATAGACGAATGTTTTGAGCTAATCTTTTCATAATGGATCAATATGAATCTAGACGTATTTTTCAATTCATTGTCATACAAATTCTTAAACGAAATCGTAATTTATGAAACTCGAATGCGTATACATTCTATTAAAGTATGTCAGTTTTGTTGTTTCGCTCAGAACAAAATAAATTGATTTAAGTTTAACCGAATGAAAGTCGATATTACTCAAAAGAAATGCATCGATTCACACTTCTACCAATTTTTCTTTTGATGAATTATCTTTCTATGTTAAATATTCGATAAAAATGAGTTTGAAGTTAGCTCTTTTTCTACTTTTGCCGATTAATCATTAAAACCAGAATAACTTTTTACTAAATATTCATAAATATTGATAGAAAACCAAAATCCTTAATTAATCCGGTATATACATTTCTAATGTCTTTTATTTGTGTGCTATTAAAAATCATTCCAAGACAATAGATAAGCATATAGAATAAAAGAAATCTACAAGGCTATAATTGATTATAGAGTATTTCTTAAAGAATAAAATAAGTTGAAAAAAAATCTTTTGGTGATGACGACAAAGTTAGGTTTGTAGTAATAGATCGACGAATATTTTTTGTTCATTGTTAAGAACGAAACTGATTTAGAAAAAAAGAGTGTTAAAGAAACTATTGTTACCGCATTTATTTATTCATTCATTCTAAATCATGGTAAAAATAAAATGATCCTTCATCAAATCTCTTGCTATCAAAATGAACGAAATATATATTTTACTTGAAAAACTTTGGCCTATTTTTTTATTTGTTGTCCGAAAGAATTTATGAAATGTTTGAGATACATCAAAACATGTGTAACTATTAAGCCATAAGCATAAGGATCCATTCATGATTAACAAGATGTTATTACTAAACGAAGAGCCATATTTTCAGACAATAGAACGAAGTTCGATTCGAATAATTTAGGCAGCATAGAAAATAAATCAATTAAAACTGTTTGGTTTTAAATATTAAAATGAATTGATTTTAGATCGAAACATTCAAATAATAAATAACATTATTCGGTGGATTTTATTTGAAGAGAAATAGCAACAGAAAGTATGTCTCAAAAATGTTCAATGTGTCATCTATCGGCAGAAAAACACTGCGAAGGATGTAAAAACAATTTTTGTCGGGAGGATTTCACACAACATAAGCAACAACTAGTTAAAAAATTCAATAAAGAAATAGTGGAATTTCACTATGAACTTCTTGATGAATTAAAACAGTTAGAAAAGCCAAGTTCTTTACCATTGGATGTTTTTGCCCAAATCGAAAAATGGGAAAAAAGAACGATCAACAAAGTAAAAATGGCAACAGAAAAAGTTCGCAGAGGAGTTACCCAACTAATTGATAAACAACGAACAGTAATGATAAAACAACTTAATTCAATAAAAACAGAAATTGATTCTCATCAAAAAGATCAAAATTTTAACGAAATTGATATTGATCAACTTAATCAAAAAATCAATGAAATACAAGAAACGCTTCGACAGTTTATTGAAAAAGGTGTAAATAAAGCCATTATTGTTGATCATGACAAAATTGATTGGGATCGAGTAATTTACGTTCAAGAAGATCTAGAAAGCGGTGAGTATTTTGAAGCGAAGTTGCACAAATTGAACGATTACCTTGTATTCTTTCATTTCCTTAAGTTATCGAAATTAATACACTTATAGAACAGAGTTACTTTCAAAGACATAGTTTTCAAGAAAATTGAATTTAAATTTCATTAAAGCGACATGGAACCACTTTCATTAAAGGAGAGTTTTCTATCGAAAATCTAAGGCTGTACGATTTCGACAACGGGCATCAAAGTTCATATTTATTCTTTAGTAAAGATTATTTTAAAATAGAATCTACGATCGATTTTGCGATGACATAGATTCGAACATTTGAAATTTGAAAATGGAAGTACTAAATGCAAGGTTTTTTTTTGTTATTATTGATCAAAATTTTCATTCTTGACAACGAGAAGGACATTGTAAAAAGAATTAGAATTGAATAGAAAAATAAAATGACATAAAAAGTTGCAAATAGAAAATGTCAAGTACTAAAAGTGTCGAAATAGGGGTTAGATAAAACTTCACAAATTTAATAGGGCAAGCTATGCAGATGAAAATAACATTATGGGTAACTAGTCGAAAGCGATTCTATCTGTGTATATAGATGTTTCTGCGCAAAAATAGATTTAAGGGATTTTCTAACTAAGAGATTTGCACTAATGATAGAGAATTTCATGCTTTATCAATTTCTATTAACCAATTTTGTTCCATAGATCTTATTTTACTAAGAATGATCAATTTTATCTGTGTCTATCGTCGAGCCTACGAGCCTTGAAATCGAAGCCTTCATTTATACGATGTATATCTTATACAGAGTATATCGCTCACATCTCAATGATAGATGCAGATGTTTATTTTGTTCGGAGACAAAACAACTGTATCCAACTAACTGAGCAAGTAACATGGGTAGAAAATCAATTAGTCAATATAATCGAGCTCAAGCAGTTGTAATTTTTGAGATACTCAAGACAATTGCTGTTTACTACACGATACTGATTTTTGAATTTTTTAACACTAACTTTTTAACTTACAATTATCCTCATTATGTTGCGTATTTCACCTATTCTTGGTAAAATAAGATCTACGGAAAAAATTGGTTTATAGAAACTAATAGAACGTGACATTTTCTATTCTTAGTGCAAATCTCTTGACTAGGAAATGCGAAATTCGTTTAAATTTTTGTCACTGACTGCGTGTGTGTACCGATAGGAAATTTCATCTCGAAATTCTATATATTCATGTTTGTTTCGGTTGTTGAATAGTAAAACTCTAAATATCAATACCTAAAAAGAAGTTTGAAGTAGGAATTAGCCTCGTAGTGTTAACAGTTCTCGATGGAAAACAATTTGTTGAGTGACAAAATCATTTCACGAAATGAAGAGAAAGAATGAATCTTTCATGGCTTTTCCTATCTATGTTCAATGATGGAAAAGTTCTGAATTTAGATGTTTCTCAGTATGCATCGGGAAATCTTCCATTCTTATGAAATAGCTTTCTCGATAAATTGTGGACTTATGTTATATACAATCTGCTATACAATTCTTCCACGGAACTTTCTATTATGATGGAAAATTCTGTGCCAAGAATTGAATTATTTTGCCAGAGTTACTAAAAATTCTGAAAGTATTATGTCAGATAAAAATTATATAAGTAGTTCATTGAAAACACAATGTCCATATACAAAAGATGAAGTTCAAAAGCTATGTTCGATTACTTTTCTGGCTTGTGCAATCCATCAAAAATGAACGACAGATTTTTTTTTTTAAATAAATAAAACTTTTTACGATGCACTCAATCGTTTTATTTTTTAAATAATAATCCGATGACTTATTTTACTAAGTTCAATTCTAGAGAAATTTTCGTTATGCTCTAACTGATTTATTCGTTTTACTTCTTTATTTCAAAACACTTTTTTTTTCATGCATTATCTGTTTGTATGTTCCAATGAATTTGCACCGCCACTTCCTTTCAACACGATCGTGACAGTTATGGTTGAAAGATCGAATATCAGTAGAATCTCATAAAACGAATTCTATCTTACAATGTGTCGAATATGATTTCGAAACATCATTGCGTTACAATTCACGAATAATGTCTTATGTTGCATGATTGTTCGAGTTGTATCGGACAAGTTCATATTGCATTTTCGTTTAAAATGTGTTGAAAATTGTCCTATGATAGAAATAACAGCTAGCATGGATTTTTCATGGATTTACCTAAGAGCAACAACTTTTTAAACGGATGCATGGACATTCGTTTGGCTTTTAAATTGAAAATAGTGCCAAAGAAGTCTATTATATTTGATCGATTTGAGCTGTTCTTCAATTTGCATAAAACAAAATTAACTAAGGAACTATTCCCATAAGATGAGAAAACAATTTCAAAAATAAAAGATTCATCCGAGTTGTATGCCACTATATGTAGAAGACAAAAAAAATAGTTTTATCCGAAGATAATCTCATTGAATTGTTCTTCAATGACATATCAGTCAGAGCATAATCTAAGCAATCATCCAAAATTGATTATACGTCATGAGCTGAATTGTTAAGAATGTGCTTTATAAGAAAATATTTGAAGTATTGAAATTCGAAGATCATTTCGATAAGTATCACTTTGAAACAAATAACCAACGCTGCAGTGCATTCGGTTGGATGCAATCGATATAAAATCTATATGAAATGAACGATGCTCAATACGTATAGCTCGATGTTCTATTGGATAGAAGTTTTAATAACGGTTGTATACCGTATTTATGAGTGAAAACTGTTTCTTTTTATTCTTATCGTAACATGCAGTCGAAAATACACTGAGCGAAAGCAAATTTTTTTAAACATCTGTAATATGCACCTGTTGTTTTATCTTCAAACTCACGTATCCTGTATTAAAAAAACGGTGCAAAATCCATAGGATTTCCATTTATTCAGAAAATGATCCCTCCTACGAATAATATTCGTTCATTAAATTGAACTGTGGTATTCAATTTTTCGGTCATAGCTTAGCTACTGTCCTTAAACGTATATATGTCATATCTGCTCGATACTATGAAACATATAAAGAAAATCAAAAATATTACGCATCATGTTTTCATTCACAATCTGATAATGACATGTATTACAGCATACTTACTCGGTTCTTCTTCGTTTCTCTTGAATTTATTGCCAGAATACAGGAAACCTATATATGCACGAAAAATTTAAACTTTGCTGATTCCTACATGTCAAGATACTTATTCTTCTGTTCATCTGTTAACTAGATCAACTCTTAACTGAGTATGGGAGAGGTTTAATTGGCAGAGATCCATGAATAACTTTACAGAAACAAAAACTTTGCTGACACTGGTTATCTTCTTTTAGACGCAGCAAATTCACCTGAATCCGAATCAACTTCAGTTGTATCCAAACACAAAGCGGCATCATCCAGCGAGTCGTCGAACGCAAAAGACAACTCTTTGCGACCCCCAGGTATGTTACATTTGATACTGATAAATTCGCCATTTAAAAAACAATTCGATCGGTCTTATTACTCATTTACTACTACCTGACGGAGCATCTCGCTTGATGTTTATCAATCGATGCTTGATTGTACTCTTATCTTCAGTTTATAGAATATAATTATTCTCTAGTCAAACCCTGAGCGTGAATATTATGACTAAAATACAATGTCACAATTTTTTCTTGGATCAAGGACAGTTTCTTACCACTTTTACTAGGCCTAATGCATATTTACAATCATATACTGACGCTAAATTGATGACTTCCTCTCAGTAAGAATCAACAGAAGATCTTATGAATAGCACATCTACACTTTCTTTAAGTGAAAATTCAATGTTTACTTCTATTAATCGCAGGAGGGACTGTGAAAATAATCACTGATGCAAGAGCGCGTTGATGAAGAATACCTCTTAAAGTGATAGAAGAACGAGTTATCCGAGAGACAACACGTTTCGAAGCATGCTAGACTTGAAGATCTACTTTTTTTTCTTCAAAATCAAGACAGTCTCTTCTCAGCAAAACGTCTAGTGGATTCTTCTGAAATGGGTTTTTCCACTAAAAAGTCATGGTTCACAAAGGATATTCTCAATGCATGAGAACGTTGATTTTTTTAATACCGAGCCGTTTGGTCGGTACTATCAAGAATAGACCCGCGAAAAATGAAAGAACATTTTTTAAGATTTCAGTTTTGAGACTTTTAAATAATTAATAAAAATCCTAATTTGCTTCATATTATGTATTTCGCGCTTATACTTTTTCGACATTGTGGAGGTTGAACTTTGCCTTGTTTGGACTTGAATAGTCTTTTGAAATCTTTTACTATTTTTTTGGAATTTTACAACGATTAATGAGAAGTTATTCAGTCTAATTGAACATAATAAATCTTTTAATCCTATTTTTTTTTCTTCGAAACTTCACAAACCATAAGATGTACTTTAGGTTTTTCATACTCTTTGTACCCGAGGCTGACAATTTTATGTTTTCTGCTGTTTATCGACTTAGAACTCGGTCGAGTTCATATCCAAGTCTTCAGAGCAATGCGCTCGTTTTCAAAACAAAATATTTTAAGACTAGGGACGTGTACTGGCTATTCGACATCTTACGCACTCACATATCTATAAATAATGTGCGAAGAACGCAGCAATTGGTCTCTTCATGAATGTGCGTATGTGGTGTGTACATGAAGATGGATTGATGTAATCACTTTTATTATCCACATCCATGCCTTAGTCTTAGCCATTCATTTAAATACCTTTAATAGAGGTTGCCTGAACGAATGCATTGCTTTACTTCCGAATCTCAAAATTTCTTCCTAAATTATATCTCAATAGAAAAGACCAGATGAGTGCTAGCAACCTATGAATGAAATAAATGTGGTATATATATAACAAATTTTGAACTATCACGAATTTTTTTCACTGTTTAAGTCTTTTTCAGCCCTTGAATCTATCGCATATCTTCCATTTCTCAATTTTAGAAATTGACGGTAATTTGAGACCTAACGCTGACGTACGTCCTAACCGTTTGGGTCAGCGTTTCAGTGATGTAGGATCTTGTTCTCAGGCTTCCCCGCGTTCATCCGTTCAAATTCGAGGAAACCAATTAATCGTTTCACAACAAAGAGAACAAAATGATATGAAAGCAATCGAAGAAGAATGTAAGTCTTGTTTTTGTGTTCTTTTTATTAAATTATCTTGCTCAAAAAATTATTTTTATAACTATGCTTGATTGAATTATATAGATATAGCAATGTTTAAAGATTTTATTGATGGAATAAAACCTGGTGAAATAATAGAAAAAGTGAAATCGATGTTCCTTTTCCCCTCTTCTATGTGATTTATTCCAGGGCAAATCGATTGATACAATTATTAATAGATTGTGCCGACCGCCAATTGTAATACCTACGGAAGACATACGTGACAAAAACTTCATTTCTATAATTAAAGTAATTTAAAGTATTTTAAAGATAATTGTTTATTGTTGTATAGCCATGGCAATTTGATGAAAATCGACCTGATATCAAACCGATACCTATCAAAGATTCATCTACTGATTATGATTGTTGGGACGAGGATCATGTTCGTATGCCTTGCTCAAAACATTATGCATATGTTAGTTAGGGAAATTCTTTCTAGCATTTTATCTTATTTTCTATTGTTAAAGAAAAATGGACAACTTACTTGGCCTATTATTTCTCAGCATTTGGCTTCTCTCCAAAAAAAATGCGAAAATCGTACGGTCAAATTTAAAGATTTAAAAGTAATCATTTAAACTCTTTCATTTAATTTCATTCAAATAAACGAAACACAATACTAGGACACGATTGAAGTCATTAACAAACGTACATTTGATCTGAAATGTTTAGAAAATCTGATTACAAAAGTCAGTACTTTTTTTATTTTATTCATTGCGTTAATTCATTATTATTTGAAGGTATATTCTAATGATAAACGTGCTCGTTTCATGTATGATACTCTTCCTAAGATTTGTAACCTTGCATTGAACCTGAAGTTAGTTTGCACTCAGGTATATGTACATAAATATCATCTATTAACAATGAGCTTTCAAATTTTGTAATTTTTCAGTCACCACCTTTGTTAAAAATTGGAACAAATCGTTCAGTTACTATGTCACAAGAACAAGCAGCAGCATTGTTAGCTTGTGCATTTTTCTGTTTATTTCCATATCGGACTTATCCGTCCGCAAAAAAAGAATATGAACATTTTCAAGATCCAAATTTTGAAACGTAAGTAATTCTAGGATTTTATAATAAGTCTTTCTTCGAAACATTATTATCGATCTTGTAGATTATATCGAGATGTACGTCAAAACAAAATCGAAAAACTCAAGTGTATTTTACATTATTTTAATCGTGTTACAGAACATAGTTCGTATATCATAAGTTTGTCTCATACGTTGATATTTCTGTTTTTAGTGCCAAATGGTGTAATAACTTTTCAACGTGTTGCATTACCCAAACATCGTTTCCCATCGTGGCATGAACTAAACACAGGTCTCTGTGATCTGACCATGACAACAGGTAAAAAAATTGAAGATATCAAGAACGTATTACAAGTAAATTAAACGATTAACTTTAAATTCTTTCGATTGATCTGTTTTTATCAGGTTGATTTTGCCAATAAATATATTGTAAGAATTTAAGAAGCAATGATTGCTTTTGTTTTGGTAACAATATATTTTATACGAATTAGGGAGGTGGCGTTTTAGGTGGCGGCTGTGTACAAGAAGAAATTCGTTTCACTATCTGCCCTGAAATGCTAGTTAGTTTACTTGTTTGTGAAGTCATGGACAACAATGAATGTATCTTTCTTATTGGTTGTGAACGCTATTCATCATACAAAGGCTATGCTGATTCATTTGAATACGCTGGAGATTATCAAGATAATACACCCAGGTATAAGATTTCAAATAAATCAACACTACTATCGTTCCTAACGGATCATATTAAAAACGAAGACAGAATCCGCTTTTTCTCTCACAAAGAAACTTCGTAGATGTCTGTATTCTTTTCATTTGTAAATCATTAGGCTTGAGTGAGCTATGAACAGTGTACACACTAGTTGTGCTCATAGAATATCAGTTGAATTTGATGCAGATATTGGACTAATATTCTCTAATTAAATTGATTTCACCGAAAGGTTTGACTATTCGATGTAACTTTTTTGCTAGAAGACAAGTCGATAGTAGAGTGAAGACTCTTTTCTTTATAATTTTTTTATCAAGCTGTATTTTTCTTTTAGAGATGGTTGGGGTCGGAAATGGTGTCATGTAATAGCTATGGACGCGGTCTATTTTCGTAATCCATCAGACCAATACAATATGAAAGTTGTCGAACGTGAATTACTGAAAGCCTACACGGGTTTTCGTCCGATAGGAGATGGAGCAGATTACAAATTTGGTATTGCTACTGGAAACTGGGGTTGTGGAGCTTTTAATGGCGATAAACAATTGAAAGGTATCGGTTGATCTATGGAAATTAACATATATTTTAATCATTAAATTTTAGCAATTATTCAACTGATGGCTGCTTCTGTCGCTAGACGTCCACTTATATATGCAGCCTATGGTGATAAAAACTTAATCATATCATTGTCTGCACTTTATGAGCACTTGACGCAAAGTACAACAGTGAGTGATTTATATTTTTATCTGTATCGATATTGTCGTCTACAAACTCGACCTCCATTATTTGACTACATTCGTGAGACAAAGGTTTCCAGTCTTAAAAATTGATTTTATTTCAATATGTTTTGTATTTTGAAATATATTATCTATTAATGCATGCGTGACGAAAATATAAGAAAGCATATAAAAATCGAGATAAGAATTAAATAAAATCTGATTATTTTCAAATCGATGAAGGTGCTAATCTGTCATATCGTTATCGTAAAAGCTTAATGGCATGCTCTTACCCTATTAATGTTTAACACCAACAATGTATTGTTAGTGACTCGACACTCTATAGTAATTACAAATCATTTCATCGTTTTCTTTACCGTGTATGAAAGTTTATTTTTCAATGTGACCAATCGCATCGTATCGGGTGAGGTGGGTGTAGGTGGGGTATGGGTGTGGGTGTGTGGGTGGGTGTGAGGTGCGGGTGGGTGTGGGTGGGTGTCGGCGTGTGTGTAGGTGGGTGTGGGTGTGAGTGTAGGTGTGAGGTGCGGGTGGGTGTGGGTGGGTGTCGGCGTGGGTGTAGGTGGGTGTGGGTGTGAGTGTAGGTGTGGGGTGGGTGTGGGTGTGCTACTAGCTATAGGTAACCTCTTCGCCAACACCCGCACGCCACACCCACACGCCACACCCACACACACCCACACCCACACCCACACCACCCACCCCACACCCACACCCACACCCTAAATATATTGTCAATAGTTTTGGTTTCCATTTGTTATCAATCGAATAATGTTAGGATCAGAGTTGGAACCGGTCCGGCAATCCGGCTCCGGTCCGGCCGGACCGGACAAGACCGGATCGGACCGGACGAGAAATCAAATCCGGCCGGACAAAACCGGATTTTTGCCAGTTCATCATTGCAAAATGGTTGCTCGTATTTGATGATTTTTCACCGAAGAACGAGTTTTTTCTACATTTTCAACTAAAAAGATGAATAGAATAGTACTCAAAATGAGAAATAGACCGAAAGAAGCAAGAGAACTGCTTCTCTCTTATGGAACGATTGCAGTTGCTAGAGCAATAGCCGATCGGTGCAATGATTGTGGTAATTAGGAAAAGACGGAAAGTTTAAGACATGAAAGCGAGAAATCCTACGTCAACTATTCCGGCTGCCAGATCTATAAGAAAGTGGTCGAAAACCATCAGAATCGACAGGTTTCATTATGTTCCGATGTATTTTGCAATTGGATTGCTAGTTGAAGTCGCTGGAGTTCTTCGACAACAACTGTCAGTTGTGCTCGAAACACAAAGAGACCGACTCAAAAACTTCAGTCAGATCCCATTGGCAAGAACACCGAATCATGACAAAAGCTTCACATGGGAAACTATAACCTAGAGGTATAGGTTCTATTCTATTTGCTACTTCTCTCTGTCGACCATCATATCCACCACAAAATCCAGCAGTTCTTCTGCCTTGATCTTCTTGAACGATTCTTAGTAGAAAAAGAGAAAAATATGCGTCATTCACGATAGTTATTACTGAGCTTGATTTTTTGTTTTTAAATAACGATGAGTAGTCGATATTCGATATAATCGACTCATCTCTATTTATTTTCAGCTTGAAAAGTCGATATCTTGGAATCTGATACAAGGAAGCTGTTTTTTTTAATATATATTCAGACGGTCTACTTCAAATATCCACATGTAAATATCGAAAATTTTACTTCACTTACTATTTTTCGTAAACAAGCTTCTTTTAAGTTCCAATTTTTGCCGGATTTTTGCCAGTTTGACTTCGAAAATGAACTGGCCGGATTCTGACCGGACCGAACCGGACAGGTTTTTCTACTGATCGGACCGGACCGGATACAAAAAACCTGTCCGGTTCCAACTCTGGTTAGGATAGTCAAAATCTTTTATTTTTGTTTTATTATGTTATTTTGTCAAATAGTAATCAATGCTCAAAATATCTGTACAATATGATTTTACGACTTTATTAAATCGTTGACTTCATCATATTGTCTGTTACATATATTGAATTAAGTCTATCTACAAATAGATATTTTTTACTTTTTATCATTCTATCTATCTATAATATTTTTAATTTATCACCTAAACAAAAATTCGTTTTTGTTTTGTTTCGATAATAATAGTAATTGATTATTGATTATGCTATATTCGTCTTTAAAATATTGCCCATAAAACATTTTTTGGTACATCAATGATTACTTTTTCTTTTTAATATCCAATCCTTTGAAATACACTTTATCTAACAAGTAGAACTCTTAGTGTAATGGCTCTTGAGTCAATGTTTTCGACTTATACAATATTATGCACAACAATATATTCGTTAGATTTTATATTAATCAATAATATTTTAATATTCTATATATGAATTTAACAAGATTAAATTTCTACATTAGAATATGTGCTTTTATTTAGTTAACAATCTTAATCAAGTGAACTATGGAATATTTAATCAATATTAATCAGGCTTAATCTGTCTTTCTTTAAGTGTGTATACTGGCTATGTCCCACTGCTATTCAATTTCCTTTATAATAATAAGAAATAACACTAAATTAAAACTGTTTCTACCATTCTAAACAATGATAATTAGAATCATGTAACAGTTATATATGATACAGTTCAATTTAAACAAATGATTTGTTTAAATAGTTAAATTGATTCTAGGTCAATTAGTATAATATATGGTTATCAATGTGCATCAACTGGTATTACAACAGTGATTTCACTGTTTCATTGTTAAGAGTTTAATCATAGTTTTTCAACTCATATGATCCATTAAAAAGACGACTATAATGTGTTGACTATAGAATGCGATATATGTAAATTTGTAGAGTAAGACTTCCTCTATTCAAGACTGCATATATTATTCAATTATATTGCGCATCATGAGAAAAAATCTATCTATATATACAATATCCAATGTTTGATAACAGGTCAATGGTCAAAAGTTAAAGGTCAACGTTATTGAACAGAGTCTATGGAGATTACGCTAGTTGTGGTTATTTTTATGTGTGTGAGGTTCCCAGGTGATTCGATCCGACTGTCGGATTACGTCGGATTATATCGGATTATATCGGAAAAATTACCGGATTTTAACGGATCCGACGGGAACTCGTCGGAAGTTGTCGGCGTCCTAGCCACAGGATTCCGACAGGAGGTTCCGGATGTCGGAATAATCAGGATCCTGCGAAATCCCTGAAACTTCGACACTTTCCGACATCCAGAACCACTTGTCGGAATCCTAACCACAGGATTCCGACAAATTCCGGCGAATTTCTATCGGATTCGACAGGGTGAATTCGACCTGGGTTGTGGTTGTAGTTATATAGGAGGGTATCAAATAACTCACACGTCACGTTCAATCAAGTCCTATTGAACCTGTGTCTACTACTCCTCAATTTTGATTGTTGGCTATCGATCCTAGTAATAGATACACATTGACGATGTGTACAGATTTTCTTTCATGATATGCAACAAAATTTTATAATATATATCTCAGTGAGCAAAAGAAATCATTCTATAGTGAAATATTTCATTGAAACTTCTAGTCGCCTTTATTATGATGTATTGAATATCGTTTAAAAAATTCAGTTTTGCTTCGTTTCTTAAATTATCCTTATATTATTATTAAATTAATTCAAAGAATATTATAAGACACTAAAATTGATTTTTGTAAATATATCAAACGAATATTTTTTTGAAAACAAAAAAAAAAAAGAAATAAATTAAATCTTCGCATAGTGAAAAATAAAAGTATTTCTTTATCCTTATATAAGAAATAAATATTTTATTAAATTTTAAACAGAATGAAGATGAAAAAAAAACATTTCTATACAGTAATACAACTAATCGACATATAGGTCTAGTCAGATACGCATATATTCGTCTATTCTTCTCAGTCCGCATTTATAACTATAGTTAAATGTACTGAAATATTTATTGTTTGTACTTATTATTTTTCTTTTCTCTCTCTCTCTCTCATCCATATATAAAAAGCACATTTTTTCTTATAATGATTGATAACATCCATAATGTCTAGTGAACAACACGTTCCACCATTTTCACCACCACCAAATAAAAGTGAACAACACGTTCCAACATTTTCACCACCACCA